AAACAGAGCGGGCTGGAGCCACACTGGATCGTGCCCTCCGCGCACTCGTCCACATCTGTGGGCAGAGAGGGCAGAGGTCTGAGGGTGATGGGGATTCCCATCACCGCTTCCCACCCCCGCCTGGGGACTCCGACACGGGGGCAGCGAGATGAAAGCGCCCGGGCTTGGCAGGGTGCTGAGCCTGGGAACAACCCTCCCCGGGAAGGAGAAAGACTTGCAGTCCCAAAGAGATGACATCCAGGGCACCGTGGGGACCGGGTTCACACCCCGAGGGACATGGGCATGCCGCCAGGGCAGGGGCATCGCCCCAACACCCCCATACTGACCGTGGCAGGTCTTCCCGTTGGGCAGCCGCCGGTAGCCGGGGGGGCAGAGGCAGCGGTAGCTGCCCGGGCTGTTTCTGCACTCGTGCTGGCACTGGTTCGGCATCTGGCACTCGTCAAGGTCTGCAGGGTGAGAGGGGTGAAGGCAAGCGGGGAAGCATCGGTTCCCTCTGGTGCCCGCTGCCCTGGGGCAGCCTGGCTCCCCAGGGAGCCCCCCGCCCCGCCGACGGAGATGCAAACAAAATGGGAGACAGGGCAGCACCCCGCACAGGAGCCGCCTTTTGGGCGCAAAGTGGTCTCCAAACTGCCTGCAAAGCCCTTCCCCGATGCACACTCACCGCTGCAGGTGCCATTCCTCTTGACGAAGCCCGCGGGGCAGGGGGTGCCCCGGACCCCCCGTCCCACAGCCTTCGCCATGCGCCGGAGGGCGAGCTGAGTGTAGAAGGACCGTCCCCGCGGGCTGCTCGGCCCCAGCCAGGGCAGGGGGGGGTCTCTGGGGGTGCTGACTGTTGTGTCCCCTCCATCCGCTCCTGCTGTGCCACACTCTCCGCTGGGCAGCAGGGTCCTGCCGGGGGGGCACAGGCACTCGTAGGAGCCCCGCAGGTTGCGGCACTCAAAGGCACAGGGTGGAGGAAACTGCAGGCACTCGTTCACGTCTGGTGGAAGAAAGAGAAGAAGAGTTGCGGCTGGACGGGGAAACTGAGGCAAGAGAAAGGCAGGGGAG